CCCAATAATCACTTTTAAGTATTAATTTCACTTCAATATTTTTTAATCCTAATTTATAGGAGAAAAGGGTCATAGTTAACATAAGGAAAAAGAAAAACTTTTTAAGACTTACCGAATTTTCTTTCATTCTGGATAAATTTCAGCATTTGGGAACCATGCAATTTGTAATCCTTTTCAGTCCATATATTTATATCCCTTATACAGAATTATTGGGACACTTGGTCACCTGATAATACTGAGATATCATTGGCTAATACATAGCTCACCAGGTTGGTTAATATATAAAGAGATGGGAAAAGTAGAGAAATCCATTTGAGACTGACCAAAGGGACCCAATAATTCTGGATTAAGATATGCCTTAGTTTCTTTTGGATATAATGTCAGAGTTAAATATCACACGATTATTGTTGGGTCTCCAAATAATTGGGTCTATGACCCAACACTTAGTAAAAGCCCCAATATTCAGTCTTCGACCCAATATTTCGAGTCTCAATCATGTCAGTGACCCAACATGTCAGTAGTTATAAAAGTATATATATATATATATATATATATATATATATATATCGACAAGAACTGTTTAGAGTCCTTTCTAAGAGGTATGGTAGAGTGTTAGAACAAGTCTCTGAGATATCCGAATCGAAGGCACTGCTGCAAAGTCAAATTTACCGAGTATATCCTTAATTTGAGCATAATACAGTATTGATATATCTCTATACATATCCTTTATGTAGCAGTATTTAACCCATTTGATGTTGAGTAATCATCGAATTCTTCAGGTGATTCGCCACCTCATGATGTATGGAAAGAAAATTGGGCAACTCAGTATTCAGTTGATAAAGATGTAGGGGATTATTTAAACGACAGATTTGATGGTATAAGTGTTTATCCAACGTTAGGAAATCATGGTAAACTATTTGTCTCATCGTCATCACCACAACCTTCTTCATCTTTACCTTCTTCATATTCTTTCCTTCGTCATCGCCATCTTCACCATTATAATTGTCCAATGTGCATGGATTATATTAAATGATTACAAAGCTTGTATCCTTTACTCAGAATTGAACGACTTATAAAACAGTTAATTGACACTGTACTTAAAAAGAACTATTAAGATCAGATGTATATTCTCTTGTATATAAGCATTGGAATAATTGTTTGTTTCAGAAACATTTCCCGCCAATCTGTATTACTCTACACTACCAGAATATAAGGTAAGAAAGGAAAATTATGAATATGAATATTATTAAAAAAGTACATATTCCTTCTTCTCGAGCACAATATATTTTCAGATAATTCGATTCGCTTATTTTCTGTTGGCTACTTACCTTACATTATCCCTCTTTTAGCCTGAAGAAATAAATAAGGCAAAGTTATCAAACACATATTTGAAATCGGTTTTTGGTCGACGTCGGTTTATATTGATGAAGCTTGTACAGAGCATTTATTTGGATAAATTTATAAACACTCCTTTTCCATAGATGTCCAATCTACTCCCTTAGGCTAAGCAAATGGTCAGGGAAATGGTCAAAATTGACCACTTAGGTAAGGTGGTTTCTTTTTTCACAATACCCACATCAATGCAATTATGGCAACATTTTGTTCCATTAAAGGGAAACAACTGCAATATAGACTTAAATACTATTAAAAGGAATTCTACATGTATTTTTAATTTCCAGTACTTCAATGAGAAAAATGTAGAGTTGTGGAGTGACTTATTTTCTATACCGGTTGAGCAGCGTGATAATATAATACAGGATGCTTATTATCAGGTTTTAATCAGACCGGGATTAAGATTAATCAGTTTTAATTCAAATCATGGGTAAGTAGTGTACTATTAAGATTATTCGGATGTAAATCATTCATAGGATAAAACATGGCCGATGGTTTTTATGATATTTAAAACCCATTTCCCGAGGGATTTTGCAGGTGAAAGGGTTTGAATATCATTAAAAACAAGGGCAATTTTTTTTTATCTGACTTCTAAACCGGCAAAGACTCATTTGTTTTCTTTGGAAAAATAATAAATGATAATGAAATAAGGGGCGCAACTCGTGCTTTCTAGAATCGGTCAGCTCTTCCAGCTGGGACGTCGACCAGTGAGCTAAACTTTCAATTTCTCAAGACACCGAAACTTTCACATCGTAATAAGGCATTGCGAATTAAAAGTTTGCTCTGGGATTCAAATCTGGATAGAAAAACCATCGGATTGTTCCCTCTGTCAGTGATGCATGTCGCAGTGGCTCAGCTAGATAAACGCTAGTTAGAATGTCCAGGTTTTCATCTCGGCTTCAGTCGAGCTTAACGTTCCGGTTTGCCAGTGATGTGGATTTTCGGGACTAACACAAAGAGTGTGACTATCCGTTCAGATGGGACATCGCAGTATTACATCCAATCTAAGCTACAATTCGAAATGTAAGGCAAAACGTATCGCTTAACAACTTGCACTCTCATTCTGAGGTGTTTTCGGCAAAGGGGTGCAACTCGTATCTACAAATTCAACCGCCGACCAGTGAGCTAGATTTTATATTTGAATAGACTTTCAAAAATTGGCC